ATTCTAGGCAAACATCACTGCCAAAAATTTCTCACTAAGCAAGCATCAAGCAATTGGACTTTTGGACTTAGTCCATTCTGATCTTTGTGGCCCCGTAAACATGCCAAACCACAATGGTGTAAGGTATTTCATCACATTCATTGATGATTATAGCCATTGGATATGCATCCACTTCTTGATGCACAAGAGTGATGCAGTTGTTGCAATTCAAACATATAAAGCCTATGTTGAAAATCTTTTTGGCTAAAAGATAAAAGTTTTTGGAGTTGATGGTAGTGGTGAATACCTTACCAATGAGCTTTAGGGCATCTGTCATGATGTAGGCATATGATCACAAGCCATAGCCCACTACACCCCCTAACAAAATGATGTTCCGGAAAGGAAGAATTGCATTATTGTCAATGTTACTTGTGCTTTGTTAGTTGATGCACATCTTGATAAAACATTTTGGCAAGAGGTTATAGCCACAGTAATGCATGTCCAAAATTGCCTTGCACAATTGCTTTGGATGGAAAAACCCTTGAGGCATTTTGGATACTTGATCTGTCCCACTTTCAAGTCTTTAGTTGTGCAGCATACGTGCATACCTCTGATCAAATTCAGAAAAAGTTAGATCCCAAAAGTACAAAATTCATCTTCATAGGATATACACAGGATGACACCATCAGGAAAAAAGCTTACAAGTTGTGGGATCTTGCATCTCACAAGGCCCTTGTAAGCACAGATGTCATATTCAACAAAGATGACTTTCCCATGCATACAAAGGTTCTTCAAGATCCTTCTTCATTTCGAAGACTTGATTTGTTCCTTTGATCCCACTTATAGGAGATGATCTCCTTTTGCCTCCATCTTTAGATCCTATTCATGAGTTGCCACTAGAGATTCCACTGGGGAATCCTCCATTTTTAGACATGCCTGAATCAATTGATTCTCTCCTCCAATCAAGGATAGGCCTCCGACACCTCCACCACCTTGTCGATGTTGTGGCATACTTGATCCAATGCTAGTTCTTGATCACCCCTAGAAACATCAGCCTTCATTGAAGAAAGTCTGGGAAAATGCTAAAGTAGATGCTATAGAGCTTGATGACTTTTATGGCCTTGTTGATATTAGCATCCCCATGATCTATGATGAGGCTGTCTCAAGACCTAAAGTTCCATCTTGGATGGAAGCCATTGAGGAAGAAGTTGCTTCCATTCAGGTTAATGGCACTTATGTTCCAGTGGATTCAACTCCACCAAGATGACGTGTTTTGGATCCAAAAAGTATGGGAAAGATGGTATATTATAAGGCATGGTTTGTTATTCACAGATTTTGCCAAACTTATGGCCTTGACTATGATGAAACATTCTCACTAGTTGCAAAAATGGCTAGCCTCCATACCCTTTTTGCACTTGTGGCTACTCGCAAATGGCAAGTCCACCATATAGATGTCAAAACAACATTCTTGAATGGGGATTTGCAAGAGGACATCTATATGTATATACCTCCTGGTTTTGAGGATGATGTTGCCTCTAGTGACACTATACAGCAACTGCAGAAAGCTTTGTATGGCTTAAAACAGAGCTCCCATGTTTAGTATCAAAAATTTGATGCCATCCTATGCACTCAAGGCTTTCATTGCTACCATACTAATCACAATGTGTATGTGAATGGTCATGCTGAAAGCATGTTTATTTTGGCCCTCTACATTGATGATTTGCCCATCAAGGGTGATGACACTAATGCGATTGCTGCTCTAAAAGCTGTTCTTAGCCAGAAATTCCAGATGAAGGGCCTTGGCCAAGACTCTTACTTTCTTGGCTTTGAGGTCACACATGATCTTAAGTCTGGTGGCTACATGCTTAGCCAATGATGTAAGGTAAAAGTCTTGCTAGATTGGTTTGGTATGCGTGATTGTCACCCCATCAATACCTCGATAGTTGTTGGTGCTATCGACCTCATAGTTGAGCAGTCTGGTGAGCCTCTACTCACTGGGACTCCCTATTGGCATCTCATCAGTTGCCTCATATATTTGGCCTTGATGACTTGCCCTAGTGACTATTGCCTTAGTTAGTACAATATATTGCCAACCAATATACATTGGCAAGCTACCAAGCATATCATCAAAAACCTCCAAGGCACCATGGACCGTAGCATTGTTTATTCGGGGGGTGATGCATTATTGACATGTTACATAGATGTTAGCTTTGCAAATAACAAAGGCCATCACTCGACTTCTGGCATTTGCCTTTCCTTCTCAGGAGGTGCCATCACGTGGGGCTCCAAGCGATAATTTGTGGTGGCACTTTCTAGTGCAAAAGTGCAGTACATTGCACTTAGGTAGCAGGGATGTGGTCTAGGCTTGGGAGTTACTTGCTGAGCTGGGATGTGCACAAGCTGGCCCCACTACTTCTTGGTGTGACAACTGAAGTAGTATTGCCATGTCCAAGAACCCCATCCACCATGCTTGCTCAAAGCACATTAAGTCCAATTTCACTATGTGTGTGAGTTGGTTGATAGTGGCACCCTACAAACTGAGAAGTAGTTCTCCAAGTTTGTAAGATTTCCACCTATACAGTGGATCAAACTAAGCAGTGAGCTCATGAGCTTGTTCAGGATCAGGATCTTAATCTTGCCAGATGGCCTGCATTGATTGGTCTGTCTGGAAGTATAGACAGGCAAGTCATTTTCTCCAGGAAGTTGATCATGATACGAGATTGTAGATAGCTTTCATAAAGAACGTGTGGAGCTCTGGCAAAACTTCCGCTTTCGAGAACAAATCCACGACAACACCTGGACAAGAATCACAGCTTCTGAGAAAAGATGATAAAAGAATTTTCGTCTCAAGGCACCTGCAAATCCTTCGTCTGAAAAACCATTGAGCTCGGGTGGCATTCACGATGGAGAATTGCAAGAGACTCACGATTTCATGTCATCGATCTCCAATCCTCGCTCAGGAGCAGTGATCGAGCAGCTCGCTCTTGAAACAAAGAAGGTTTTCTAAGAAGAACACGAAAAGTTCTTACCAATCCGAGAATTGTCTTCTGGAATGACCAGTGGAAGCGAGGAGAACTCATCCTAAAAAACAAACATGAGCATGAACATAGAACAAACAAAGAGAAGAAAAATTTTAGTCTGGTTTTAGGGCTCTTGTTTATCTGACAACTCGAAATCCTCCCGGATCGAAGCTCCCGAGGCCGCATTTCCGCGAGAAATCCCGCACAGAGATGAGAGCTCGTACAGGGAGGAAAGATTTCTCCCGATGAGGGACGAACAAGGGTCGATGTTCTTGGTGGAGCGATTCGGCGGCACCAGATTCCACGTGTGGAAGATGAGGATGCAAATGTTGCTGGCATACTTGCATTCGAACGGGTACGATTAATAAAAAACGCCGTTTAAAACGCGTGTATAATACGGTGTTTAAAACGGCGTTTAAACACCAAGAATATTTTTAAAAACCCTAAAGAATATGCTTTCTTTTACTTAGGATTAGGGTTCATGTAAAATCAGGGTTCGGAAAAACCCGTAAAATCAGGGGTCGAAAAAAACTGAAAACCATTATACCCGTTCGAAAAAAAGCTAAACGGGTATTAAACGTTCGATACCCGTTCGAATCCGGTTGCGTTCGAATGTTCGGATGCAACTTGCTGGTGCTACACTATCAGTGGGGCGTGGTGAGCGGATCGGAGGAGAATTCGCGAGGAAGGAAGATCGCCTGGAGTTTGAGAAGAAGGACGCGAGAGCACGAGCGAATATTTTGCTCCATCTCGAGGACAGGCAGCTAATGCAGGTGTGGCACACGACACGATGGGATCTCCTGGGCGAGATGTTGGGATTTAGGGTTCTGGTGGCCGGATAGATAGAAAGAATGCTAGTGGCGCGTCCACAGCTAGCGCTTTGGCGCAGTGGTAGAGGCTGGAATTCTTCGTCGGTTCCAGCGAGAGTTCTGGCCAGGGGAACTCACGCATTGGGCGAGTACCATGGCACTATCCCGGAGGAGACCGTGAGCACTAGAATCGACGTGTGGCTTTCGGGTCAGCTCCCTCATACCAGTCGAGCTCGCGTCCAAGACAGCATTCGCAAGGGGCTTGCTCTTGTCAATGGGAAAACCATCACCAAGGTACGAGGCTTTCTTCTAGCTCATTTGCACTTCACTTTCATGTTTTTTAGCTAAGCTTTGGATTTCTGGCAGCCTTCGTTTCCTGTCATTGGTGGTGACGAAGTTGTCTGTACTCTCTGCGGTGCTGCTCCTTTGGAAGCTACTCCTGAGAAAATTCAGCTAGACATTGTTCATGAAGATGATCATGTGATTGTTGTCAACAAGGCTGCCGATATGGTATGTAGTCGAGAGACTTTCGCTTTGGACCTGGCTAAATACAAGTTTTCACAGGTTGTGCATCCGGCTCCAGGACATTACGGTGGGACTTTGGTGAATGCTATCCTCCATCACTGCGGCCTTCCTGCTGTCGAGGTTTCTCTTCCAGTAATGATGGACGAGGAATCCGATGACGATGAAGGAGAGGAGCTGAGTGAAAATGGAGACCAAGACTATGAGAAAGATGAAGTCGAGGTACACAAAGTTAGAGGCGAGACTCCTTCAAGATTTCGGGGTCCGAGACCGGTGATAAGGCCTGGGATTGTGCATAGACTGGACAAAGGTACCAGTGGACTCATCGTCGTTGCAAAAGTAAGGTAAGACACGTCTTGTGTTACCAGGTGCTGAGTATGCCTTGTTATTGTTATTTTCAGGATGAACAGTCCCAGCTGAGTTTGAGCGAGCAATTTAAATCTCGGAAAGTCCGAAGAACCTATCTGAGTCTTACGTGTGGTACACCTTCAACGACGAGCGGCCGCATTGAGGCTGAAATCCTTCGTGATCCGCGAGATAGGAAACGCATGACGACGTCAGATACTGTTCCATCCGCCAGAAATGCGCGTTTTGCTGCAAGCAGGTATGTCGCAACGAGTTTCTTTTGTATCACCATTTCATTATCATTTCAGGTACAAGGTTCTAGACGTTCTCGCAAATGGTGGTGTGGCTCTTGTTCAGTGGAAGCTGGAGACAGGGAGAACTCATCAAGTTCGTATTCTTTAATTTCAGGAGCTCTGATACTAAACTGAACCTTCCAGATAAGAGTTCATGCACGTTACATGGGTTTCCCGCTGCTTGGGGATGATGTTTATGGAGGAACAGTGGGAAAAGCGAATTCGAATCTATTTTCCGCTCTAAGCGCGACTAAAACGAACAGCCGAAAGAAGATTCACGAGTTCACATCGGACATTCGTCGCCCTTGTCTGCATGCCTATAGCCTCGGGTGAGGTTTCGTATAAGAAATTTGCGTGAGCTAATAAACGTTTTCAGGTTCGAGCACCCTGCCACAGAAAAGTACGTTCACTTCACATGTCCTCCTCCAGAAGACTTCGAGGAGGCATGGACAAGGCTCCGAGACATGAAACCGGAAGCATAACTTTCAGCGTTGGTGGCTTTGGACAACACCGAAGCCTCTCTGGACCATATCATCTAGGAGCTCGCGAGCGTCCTCATCGCGATTGGCCTTACGAAACGCATCAATGAGAAGGTTATAAGTCCCGATGTTTGGAACACAGCCCTTCTCTATATACCCGCGAGCTCGATCAAGCATACCAGCATTGCAAAGGCCAGTAACCAATGTGGAATACGTTATAGAGTTTGGCAAGCACCCGGGCTCCTCCAGCATCTTTCTATACACTCGACAAGCCTCGTCGACTTTCTTCTCTCTGCAAAGGCCATCGATAACAGTGGTATACATCACCACGTCCGGGTTACAACGTCTTCTTCGGGCTTCTTCGACGAGCTCCATGGCTTCGCTGGACCGGTTAACTTTACACAGTCCCCGGATCATGATATTGAACGAGACAACGTTGGGAGGACAGTCCATCTCCTCCAGCATGAACTTCCGGGCCTCCTCCAACTGGTTTGCTCTGCAGTAGCCATCGAGGATGGTGTTATACGTATAGACTGTGGGTGAGCAGCTCTTCCTCCTCATTTCACCGAGGATATGCACAGCGTCACTCAGCCGGTTCTCTCGACAGAGCCCGTCCATCAAGCTCGTGAAAGTCACCACGTCCGGGGTGAGCCCCTTGCGGGTCATCTGGTTGAGAAGATCGTACGCATCGTCTAGCCTCGCCAGCTTGCAGAAGCCGTTCATGAGAGTGGTGTAAGTCACCACGTCCGGAGAGCTTCCAGTCTCGGCCATCCTCTCCAGCAGGTTCATCGCCTCGTCCATCTTTCCCATCCGACAGAAGCCGCTGATGAGGGAGTTGTAAGTCACCGTGTTCGGCATACAGCTGCCGCTCTTGATCATCCGGCCGAAGAGATCGATCGCCTCCTTGAGCCGGCCTTCCTTACAAAGTCCATCGATCAAGCACGAGTACGTGACAACGTCGGGACGGAAGCCTCTGGCAACCAGCTGCTCGAATACTCGGAGAGCATCATCCGACTTCTTTGACTTGCAGAAGCCGGTGATGAGCGTGGTATACGTGAAGATATCCGGGATGCAGCCGCTGTACACCATCTCCTCCAGGAGGTCGTAGGCCTCGCTCGCCCGCTCGGCCTTGCAGAGACCGCTTATCAGGCTGTTGTAAGTCACAGCCGTGGGGACGCACTTCTTCCGCATCTTGGACAGCAGCGCCACAGCCTCGTCGACCCGGCCACCTTTGCAGAGCCCGTCGATGAGAACCGTGTACGTGACAACGTTTGGAGTGAGGTTCCGGTTGGCCATCTCTTCCAGAAACTTTCGAGCTTCGTGGAGCCGGTTCTCGACGCACAGGGCGTGGATGACGGCAGTGTAGGTGTAAACGTCCGGGTGGAAGCCTTTGGAGACCATTTTCCCCAGGAAGATCAAGGCCTGCTCCAGCCGCTTCACCTTGCAGAGTCCCTGGATCAGGCTGGTGTAGGTGACGAAATCCGCCGAGCAAGAGTTCGTCGCCACCATCTTCTCGTACACGGCCACGGCAGCATCCAGCTTCTTCCCTTTGCAGTACGAGGACACCACCAGATTGTGGAGCGGGAGTTCCCGGAACTTCTTCCTCGACTCGGTGACAAGCACCTCGGCGTCCTCGATCATCTTGGCCTTGCAAAGCGGACGAACAAGGAGATAGTAGCTCGTCACGTCCTCGGCAGCCATCTCTACCATCTTCCGGAACAGCAGCTTGGCATCGTCGAAGCGGGCCTCCTTGCAGAGAGCGGTGATCTTGGCATTGCACTCCGCGGTGTTGGGAGCCACACCTTTGCTCTTGAGATCGACGAGCACCTCGCAGGCCATCGCGACGTCGCCAAAGCCGTGCAAGATGACCGCGAAAGTTGACGCGTTTGGGAGCTGCCAGGAGTCGACCATCTCGGACAGGAGCTCTCGGGCGCGATCGTAGAGGCAAGCCCGGAGGAGAACACGCAGGAAGCAGTTGTAGGTGTAGATGGAGTGGCGGTAGCCGGGCCTATGCTGCGCGTACGTGAAGAAGAACACGGCATCGTCGACGAACTTGAGAGCCTGGATGACTTTGCCGACGATCTCCGGTGTGAGATCCCCGCTCCACGCGTCTAGAGCTTCGGCCTTGGAGGGATTGGGAGCCGTGGAGCGGAGGATGTGGAGGAGGCTCTCTACTTGGAGCAAGTGGTCGGGGAACTCGTCCCCGCCGGCCATTCGCGAGAGTCGATTTGGAGGCCTGAGCTTGTGCTTGCTCGAGTCGGGCGATGGAGATTGACATGAAAACTCTTCGTGCGATGATGGCGATGGTGATGCCGAGGAGGCGACAAGAACTGCAGTGGAAGAATGGAATGTTCTTGCTCGAGGAGGGCGATGGCGATAAGACGAGACGAGACGAGGACGCGAAGATAAAGATGGATGGAGGAGGGCAGTGATAGCAGCCATGGAACTAGAATGAGTGGAGAACAGGTTACCTATGTCTGCCCGCCATGGCTGGAGCTACATTGTCCAAGCCCTAAGCATTCCAAAATATTTGGCCCATGCAGGTCTCGAACCTGCGACCTTGGCGTTATTAGCACCACGCTCTGACCAGCTGAGCTAATAGGCCTTACAGATTGACTAATATCTCTTAAAAATAATAACATCGACCGTTGGCCTTACGTTGACTTTTAACGACAATTCGTCAAGCTCATCGAGTTCATCCTCGCCCAGCTCGATTTGGCCATGGCTGGAGCTACATTAAAAGCCATTGGCATTCGCGTTTGGACAAAAAGATTTGGCCCGGTTCCTGGCCACAGTGCCATTCTCAAGAGCGCCAAGGATCGATCCAATGCAGTGAACTCGGGAACATTCACGGCAGGGACTTTGTCGTAGACTCGACGAGCATTGACTATGCTGCTGCATTTCAAGAACATGTCCACCAAACTTGTTGCCCTTGGACAGATCCAAGCTCCTGGCTTTTCTCAGGTAGGCCTGACGAAGATTGTCATACGCTTCTTGGTGCTTTCAACTTAAGAGGATCAAGTTACAGAGAACCAGGCAGGAGTGTGTCGGTAGTATGGTCCTAGTCAGTTCTTTTAGCGTGCGAAACCATCTTGCCTCTGCTTCCATGGCTGCCTCCTCCTATCTTCGCATCCCTGTTATTGCCATTGCCCTTCTCCTTCCACTGCAGTTCTTCTCGCCTCGGCATCGCCGCCGTCTCACGGAGAGTGTCCACCTCACTCTTCATCTCCAGTTCCTCCTCCCGACTCGGGCAGCCACCAGCTAAGGCCTCCAAATCGAGTCTCGCGAATGACGATCTCTTGCTCCAAGTTGAGAGCCTCCCGCTCCTCGGCTCCCAGTGCCTCCAAGGCCGAAGCTCTGGACGAGTGGAGCGGGAATCCCACGCCGAGATCGTCGGCAAAGTCATCCACGCGCAGCACAGCCGGCTCATCTACAGCTTCCAGTCTCGGCCATCGTCTCCAGCAGGTCATCGCCTCGTCCATCTTTAGAAGCCGCGGGTGACAACACAGAAGCAGCAAGAGAACGAACGCCGCTCGTCTGTGCAGAGGTGTGCCCAAGCCCTGTCAAAACGCCCACCATGATCGTGGCTACGAGAACGAGTCAACTCGCTGAGCCAGCTCCCGCTGCGATGTCTACCGCAGCAAGCTCACGATGCAGCACGACGCGCTTCAAGTCCATGCAGCGCCAGCACCCAGCACATCTACACCATGGATCACGGGCCGCGACGGGCTGCTGGAGAAGGTCTTCGAAGTGAAACGTCTACTCCTTCACGACGCTGATCAACGCCCACGGGCGGAACCGGCCATCTCCTGGCAAGGATGAAGGAGGAGCGAAGATGACAAGAAGATCCTGTGCCTGGTAAAGGTCTCCTTTACTCACACTGCGCAAGGCCACCAACGCGATTAGGGAATGAGCAAGGGCGGGTTCCAAGCTCTGGTGCCCAGCGTGCAAGGTCGGGCTACGTCCACGACGAGGCTCTGGAGTTTTATACGAGGTGCTGGTGGGGGTTTGCTGCTCGAGGAGGCCACGGAGGAGTTTGTGGAAACGAGCCGATGGATTTTGATCTTGCTTGTTTGTTTCAGTGATCATGCATTTCTTCTGGCCTGTGTTCTGTCAGCCTTTATAAGTAAGCGTTTGTAGTAGCAGAGACTTTTTACTCGAAAGAAACGTCACCTCGTTGATACCCCTGGCAACAAGCAGCATTTATTGTGTGTTTGTCCCTGCTTCACAAACACGCTGCATACCAGCTAAACTATTCAAAAACATGATGTACTCTTTTCTGCATAACAAGAATTGCATAGAATTGGCAAGGAGGCATCACTCGCATGTCAAAGTTCTGTAGTAGCCAACTTCAAAGAATTTTAGATTTCAGATCAAGTCAACCAGAGGTTGAGCTTTTAATTTTGTAGCTTACATCTTCTCTAGATGAAGCGCTAGGACTAGGAGTGCTCTCCAAATCCAAATCGATCGACTCGGACTCGGAGCAGGAAGAACCCGTTGGCTCGTCGTCGTCGGACATGGTTGCACCCTTCTCGGCCATATCTTCGCCATCTGTCTCGCCTTCTTCGTCTGAAGAAGACCAAGAGCTTGGTGTCCTGCTCCACGGCGGGCTGGTGCACACAACCTCCTCCTGGCCATCCACAATCCCCAGCTTCTGCATTTTGCGACACAGCCTCTCCAAACGAATTTGCACAGACTTCGCGCCACCACGGCACGGAACGTCCATCTCCTCCTCGAACACCACCTGAGGATCACAGGACTTGTGCGTCCAGTGCCTCCTCGCAAGCGCGGCCACCTCCGCCGCTCCCCCTTGAATCAGCTGCTGCTTGAAGAAGCCAAACAGCTCCTCGTCTTCCTCCTCGTCCTCCACCTTGCAGAAGTAAGCCGGGAGAAAGAAAGAAGTGGCCAAGCTCTGCACGGTCCCCGTCTTGGCCCCGTCCCAGTCCAGAATGCACTTGACATGTCCCGATGCCGGATCCACCAGGACTTGGGTGGGTCCAAAGTCGGGGTGGTGAAGAAAAAAGCCGCTCCCCTCGCGAGATTCTTGGAACTCGTCCAGCCACCTGAGCAAAATAGCCGCGTTTGCCCGTATCGATTCGCCATACCTGCGGCTGTTTCCGTGCAGCACCATCAGCCCTCCAATGTGGTTCCTCGCGTACTCCTTCCACGACGAGTAAGGCCCGGGGCTGAGAGCCCCCACGTCCAGCCCGCGCTCCATCGCCTGGGACACCGGACTCTGCGGTTCCGGTCCCACGTGGCACGCCCCGGCACAGTCGACCGCCATGCCCCCCATCGAATCCAGCGGGCGGTGGTAGAGCCGGACGGTGATGCCTGCCAAGTCAGCGAGCACGGTCTTCTTCCACTCCACGCTGGCGCCCTTCCTCCACAGCTCCCACGCCGGCACGCCCTCTGCCACCGGCATAACAGTGAGGTGGGATTTGCCGCGTGGCGTGTAGGGCAGCGGTGGCGATGCCACGTGGACGGGCCCTGCCACGACCGTCTGTATGCCCAGCCCCGACAGGAAGAGCGTCGCGGCGTAGCCCGAATCCGCCAGTGCGCTTGTGATGCGGTTCTTCTGACCTGCGAGTGGGAGTCGAATGGCGACGCGCTGATCACCTTTGTGCGCGTCGAGCACAAGATTCCAACCCCCCATCCCTAGAATGCCGGTAAATTGAACCGCACAACCCAGAATTCTAGAAACCATCCTCTCGAGTTGAGAGGGCAAGCAAAGGAAACTCTCAAATATCACATCCCTCAGCTCCGCCATGGCGCTTTCTTTCTCCCTCCAAACCCTAAATGGCCCTGTTTCATTAAAGCTCTCTCTAAAGGGTCGAACCTGACGTCAGCGCTTTACAGTCGCATAAAACCTTTTACGATTGAAGGTTATACTACTGCTCTTTGGGCTGAATCTGATCCGGAGAATCACTTTGGTTTGTACAACAATCAGCTAACAAAAAAAAAACACCTCATGTGCAAGCAGGTACTCTCTAAGCAGAAACAACTACATAAATCCAACCAATTACATTAACATATACTTTTTATTAATATTAAGTTGATAAGGCCTAAGCCATACTGTTTCTATTTAACGAGGAAAGGGAAAAGCCTTTTTTTTTTGCTTCGTGGCTGGGCTGCGCGTTTGCCTCGCCTTTTTGTTTCCTGAGAGTTTCGAGTGTGACGAGCTACCTGACGAGTGCGTTTGCCGGATCTTGGCGTGGCTCCCCATTCCAGACCTTGTCCGCTGCAAGGTTGTATGCAAGCGCTGGAAGTCACTCATCGAACTCGCTGGAGAAGCTTGCCGCGGTTGCATGAGTCATGGTTTGTAGGCAATAGTTCCGTTCCCTGTCGTATCTTGGCCACTAGTAATTCTCCCCACAGGGCTCGCCATTTTGAAGAATAGAGGACGTTGCAGGTTTAGGATATTTGCCGACTCCTGCGGCCTTGTGTGTGGCTATTTTGTGAATCTCCAGAGACACCACTCCCTATTACATGGTTGGGAATCCGATCACTGGGAACTCCTCCCCGAGCTCCCAGTGAACGAGGTCACAAGGAAAGAGGTGCTTGTGGATCCATGCACAGGGTACTTCAAGGTCCTGGTGTTTCTCCCTGCAGAATTTGATCAGTAGGGAGTGGCGGCGCTGCCAGTTTACAAGCAAGAAGAGCATTGATGATCTCGGTGTGGATGACAAGGGACTATGGCTCGGATCTAGTATGTTTGCATTACCTAACAGACATTCGCTAAAGATCACTGGTGGTCGAGTTGATCTTCTTTACGTGGCTGTGTTTGATCAGGTTTCAGGTTGCTATGACAGGGCCAAGGTGAAGTTTCCAAGCACTCTTTTCTCTTGTGGCCTGCCTTGTATTGTAGATTACAATGGGAGGTGGATTCTTGTTTCGTCGACTATAAGTGGTGGTTATAAGGTGTCTGCTGCTGCATGGGAACTCAACAGGGAGACATCAGATTGGAAACTTTTGAGTGAGGTTTACATGGGTGACTTGGTGAAGAATGGCTCTGTTGAGTTTGAGTATTTTGTTGTCAAGCATTCCGTTGTTATGCGACCAAGTATGTTATCACTCTCGCCACCGATGGCCTTCTTCTTCAAGAATAATTTATGGAGTAACTGCAGCAAGTATAACTATAAGACGGCCTTCATGCTCACGCCAGATTTATTTTTCAAACGTGCTCTATATAATAATTTTTGATCGGCCTCCATTTCTCCATGCATCTCTTCTTTGATGCCTCGCAGGCCTGGATGGCAAGAAGGGAGGAAAAAAATAAAATAAAAATTCCCAGAAGGGCCGTTTGAATTGGCGAACTCTTCAGCCATTTGAAGAAGCATGGTGGATTATTCTTATAGAGATGAAGGATCGAGCACGCTTTATGGTAGTAGGCACCTAACAATTATTAGAAAAAATAAGTAGAAAACAAATATTATTATAACATAAGCGTTTGCATCTTGGACTAGCAATCTGAAACTGATAAAGCACAGCAAGAGTCCTGAGTAATAAAGTAAAAAATAAATCAATTTTACCTCTCCTGACTGTGAAAAGAACTCTTAGAAGACCTTTGACAGCTAAGTGATCGCATGCACTGACAATTGCTATAGGAGCCCCACTCACCAA